AACCTGAGATCTACCCACCCCTTTTTCTTCCTTTCAGGGGGGCTCAGTTTAGAAACAGATTCACCAGAAAAAAAAAAATATCATTCCACTGGAAAATTCCTTAGCAGACCATGAACACATCAGGGAAAAAGCTAGTGACAGTAACAAGAAGGTGAAGCAGTTGACAGAACAGGGTGGGAAGAGCAACTAAGAAAAAGTTTCCAAAAGGTGAAATGCGCTTGATTTAGAAATATCACCCTGCCACTGAAGGAATGGTAAGTGCTGTCTCTGGGGGCATTTACAATTAAATTGAACAAAAACCACAATGAAGAGCAATAAGGCAGCGGACAGCAAACGGACTGCGTGACTTCATCTTTTTAGTTTTTTCTTTCCTTCTCTTTCCTCTGCATGTTCCAAGCAAAGCGCCCATACACGGGTGCCCCTTCCCACTTACCCAGCCCACACCAGGCTGGAGCAGCCACAGTGGCAACACAAAGGAGAAAACAGAAATACTGAGATCAGTTAATTTCAGGATTTTTTTTTCTCCTCTGAGTCTCTCCATTATTGTCTCCCCAATAAATCCATCCTCCCTAACTTCTAGGATGCACCTCCTTTGCAGCTATGAACTACCTGCACTGTACCAATATGCACTAGTCAAGAATGTGTTCACCCTCTCGTTGGGGTAATATCCCAATTTTCTAAGGGTCTTCCAGAAGACCTTCTCATCTGGTTATTCTTTCATTCAAACCTCCTTTTTTCTCCCTCTAAGCAAATGCTCTGCAGATATAAAACCCCACCGCTAAATCAAAGGCAATGGCACCCATGTGTGCTCTCAGGCAACTTGGTCTTGGCTTTGCAAAGCCTGTGCCTTGAGGAACTGCCTGTGCACCCTTGCTGAGTAAATATTGCACAGCTTGCTGAATTTTCCCTGCGACTTTCTACTGGAGAAGCTGCTTGGAGAGAGGAAGCAAGAGAGAGAAAGAGAGAGAAGAAAAAAACACTTCTGCTTTTCATAATGCCTAATCTTTTTCCCCATTGGCATCCACCAGATGTTGCTTTGGATCAGAAGATAAATATTAAAACCTAAGAAGGAACAAAGCAGGCTGTTTACGAGATGGATTTTCTGATGTCCCTCGAACACTTTAAAAAGATGGGAGGAAGGGAAGGGGGGGGACACTAGAGATGGTTTGATAGACACCAGGAACGAATTTCACAACCCAGTTGAGCTCTCTAGTGGTCTCAAGGCCAAATTGCTCCACTAGCATCAACTTAAGAATTCAAAATTTGCTCTGTTGTCAATCAATCATTGGGTAGGGGCCATTCCTGCAAAAAGCTGAAATACCCTCTGGAGGGTATTGCAGCTGCGGGGGAGAACAGCACTAACCTGACAAAGAGTCCAGCAAATTGCCACCGGGACACATTGACATTCCCTCGATGCCCCTGAGCTCCGTGGTGGTCACACATGTACAAGTAAAACGTGGACTGCTTCTGGTGATAGGAAGCCACTGTGACCTGGACATCGCATTTGATGAAGGTGGCCCCAGCTTCTTGGCAGTCGACTGCGGAGTGCTTCAGACCACAAAGGATGGCCAAAGATGCTGCAGAAACAAGAGGGGAGAAATAATCCAGAGAAGCCTGTAACACAGCTGAAGTTAATGAGATTTTTGGATACTGGCAGTTTTCACTGCAGAATCCTAATCTGCATGTCCTGTCCTCTCCTTCAGTACATCCTTCCTGAGGATGAGTAGGTCTCCATCCAAATTCTTCAGCCTCTTTTGCTCTTTGTGCAAGCTTATAACTTGCCTTATATGATGAGCATCCAGGTGGCCTTTGGAATCAGGTCATCTGTTGTGGGGAGAGGTAACAGGCTCCAGGTCTTTAGAAAAAGAGCCCTTACTACTCCTAATATCTAGTAGAGCTTTTGAAATCCATAAACAGTTTTATTGAGAGCTTTTCCATGCTTGGAGGGCTTCTTCTAGGGAACCTTAGTGATCTGGGAGATGTGACTTTGTTCATGACTAGAGACTCAGTCCAAGTCCAACCCATAGATGTGGTAAGGGGTTTGAAGAGAGCAGATGCTTTTCTTTAAGGGGTACTTAAGGGACAAGATTTGTGAACAAATGGGATTTTCTTACTCTAAATCCAGACAAAAAAAAATAAACATTAAACCATGCCAGAGATCAAGATTACTTCAATAAAAATTCCTGGGCATATAAATACTTGTGGAGAACATTCATTAATGCTGGACTAATTAAACACTTGTAATGAACTGTTGAAAGGGTTTGTGGACAGTAGTGCAGTCTGCACTGTAGTACCTAAGAGCATTCATCAGCCATCAGAAAAGCAATTGATGAGAATTTTTTAAGAAAGGATTTGCTTCTTTGTTTGTTTTGAAACTCCAAAGGTTTCCTGTTTGCTGGGAAACTGTCATTATCAATGAATATCTTACCACCTAAGCATTTGTGAAAAAGCATTTTGAAGTGGTAAGAACATGAATTTTCTATGTTACATATGTTAAAATATTTACAGTTTATGGCTAAAAATGTGGGGTTTTTCTAGTTTTAGATATTTACAGAATGTTTTTGAAATGTTTATATCCCTTTAATGCTTAGTTTTTACTATTAGAAAAATACTGCAGTATTTCATCTACTCTAAACTGCAGAGTGAAAGGTCACTAGTTTTCTGTAATGCTTTTGTCTGGAATTAGAATGAGAAAAAATAAAAATAAAAAAACACTCACATCTTCACACTTTTTGTGATAAGTTAAATCTCTTTTCTTCCCAAATCCAGTCATGATTGGTTTCTTCAGCATCTCTTCAAGCATAGCAGAACATAATCCCTGCCTTAAAAATCTCAGTCTACATGAGAGATATAGAAAGGAGAGACAGAAAAGCCTGTAAGATCATGCCTGTATTTTGTTTTTATTTTCTAGAAGTGGTGTCTAGAGCAACCAGAGATGTTCCATACTTAAGTCTTGCGTTTTCCTGCAGGCCGGGCTTCCATTCCCTATGACATTTCAATGTTTAGGCAAATGAATGTCAACCAAAATACTACTAAGGATTTGTCTTTGCAGCATTTTTACTTGTACCAGAAATAATTAGGATTTTATCCAAATGAAATGGTATTTCTGTTTTTCTTTCTTTAGCCATAGCACTGAGAACTTGTCAAAACTAACAAAGATGGCAAAAACATCTAGGTTACCAGCCTTTCCTCCCTCTGCAAGTCCATAAAGTTAGTATGGGCCAAAGAGAATTTTGTTCTCCTTCTGTAAAAGAGTGTAATAACTCGTGTTTTAGCAGTGACATGAAAGGCTTTAATATGCTCAGATGTAATAATGAAGACCCTACAACTGCTTTTGATGAATAAACAACTAGCCTTAATATTAAAAAAAGATTATATTCACATTCCACAGTTTAAGAAAAACAACACGTAGGTGAACTAATCAAAAGAGGCGTTGGATATTTCTTTTGCAGTCTTGAATACAACCTGACAGAGTGTTCCTGGGTGCCTAAAAGAGCAACTGAACCCCATTCTGGGATGAATGATCCACAGAATCCACCCAAATATTGTCCTTACTACCTGAATGCTGTCAAAGCACTTGCCTAGTTAATGTAGGTCACCAGAAGATATTTCCTGTACAGCCCTCAGAGCTCAGCAGAAGAACAGCCTGTTACCTTTGGAATATCCTGAAACATTGTTTGGAAAGGAGGCATCTTTGAAGCACGCCAGTGCCCTCGTCTTGGCACTGCTTTGCCTGCAGAATTACAAGGCCTTCTATATTGCTAAATGTTGAAATATTTTTAACTGAAGACAGGCAAATGAAAGGATTTCATTTAAAAAAAATGAAGTAAAGGGCATGGTTGCAAAGGGTCATGAAGAAATCGGGCCAAAGTGCAAGAAACTCCAGAATCAAACCTAAAACCACTTTCTCATTTCCACACTCTACAGTAACGGTCCTTCTGATGGAGACATCACCCCTTGTGGAGTCTCCATATCTCATCCTGTCCTTCTGAACCTATGGGATTTTACTCTTGCCTTGTTTCCAAAGGATTTCTTAACCCTTTGCTGAGTTAAATGCTGACTTTTCATCTCTCTGTGACCATTAAATGCTAATATCCCTGGAGTATGCTAAGGCGCCACAATTGTGAAAAATATCAGACAAAATAATAATAATTTAAAAAATTCTGCATTACGTACTTTATATTCCCCATAATCATAGAAATTGCTAATCATGCCTGAAATAATCCCACCAGTGATATTGGTGTATTCAGCCCGCTATGGCTTCACTTTTAAGATCACACACATCATCAGCCAAAACTCTGTATATGGTAATAGGTTAGAGATTATTTTTGAGGGATATATTTTTTGAGGATACTACAGTTTAAGTGGGGATCCTGGGATGTGCAGCACAAAAGCTTTGTTCCAGGTCACTGTTTAATAACAACGATTGGATGTGTGATGAGACTAAAACCTACCGAAGCTGCAAGCGCAGCTGCTGACTTATGGAGCAACTGCCCCAAGTGCAAAGCTGAGTTTTATCAGTTACCCCCATTCTTGAGCCACTGCAAAACACCGCATTAACATGTGCTTAGCAGAGGCACAAAGGTTGGGAGAAAGGAGAGGGAGAGAGGAAAAAATAAGAGACTTGTTAAGGTCATTGCGTCCCACCTCTGCCTATGAAGAATTGCTCCCTACGAGACATTCATTTTGCACAGCTGAGTTTTAAAAGTCCCAAGAGGCGACTTTGCAAGCATCTATTCCACTGCCTGATAGATCTCACTGTCAGAATGCTCCTGCTTTGTAATCAATATGTTTCTTTTTTTGTTTCTTTTTTTTCCCCCCTCTATTTCAATTCTGGATTTGAAGGACAGAAGAGACCGTATGGATCTTTAGATTGGGGCTCAACAAAAAACCTCAGAGGACCTAGTTGCTATTCAGATCACAACAGGCATAGCACATCCTCTTCAGGTCTTCTCCACTCATAAACCTCCCTATTTCCCTGCATATAAACTCCCTTGGTTCTAATTCACTGCATCTCCTTGGTATACTTCTGCTTCCATATCCAAAACACATTCCTCCCTTTCCTGCTACCTGATATAATGTGCTCTGCCAAATTTCCTTTTAAACCAGCCTCATTTCATTTTTATCTCCTAGTT